GCTTTTTTTAATATCATTATTTTCTAATTGTGGTTACACATAAAATGGTCTTATTCACAAATACACATATATATATATATAAGTGTAAAACATTCCTTATCTCGATAAGTCATTTTATTTTAAATGGATTATAATGAAGTGTGTTCAAAAAAAAATTGTAATTAATTAATACATTATTATTGTAAATGCTTTCTATAACGCAGTTAGTTAAGAAAAATGCAAAAATTTATTATATTGATAGATGTTAATTGTAATTTATTATTTATTTAAAAATAATTAATTAAATATCTGTAGATGCTTATTATTTTTTATCGATGTGTATATAAATATATAAATAATATATAAAAATTCATCATTAAACATGTTCACCATATATATAAAAATTAAATTTTAAAAGTTTAAATATATGCATACATATATATATATATAATGTGTTTATTTTTTGTTAAGTTTTTTTTTTTTTTTTTTTTTTAAATTATTCAAATATTTGTTTAAAGATATTGTTAAAGATATTCAGTTAATGTTTATTTATTTACTCGTTTAATTAAGAAAAAGTTTCATCGAGTAATATTTTCTAAAATAATAAAATAAAATAATATTTTAAGTTTACTTTTTTTTTAATTCTTAGTATAAGAATAAAATAAATATGTAGTAGGCATGATATGTGTAATTTTAAAAAAAAGAATGTTTAATAATTATCACAAAAACTAATATTGATTTTGGACCATAATTATTATAGTAATAAATGCAACAGTTTTACGATTTAAAAATTTATTTTTATTTTAAATGGTAATTGGGTGAATGGTAAATTTCTTAAAATTAGTAATAATAGTAATTAATTATAATAATTAAATAACTTTTTTTCTTTCATTCTGTGATGTTCTTCGAAATTTTTACTGTACTGTACCTCTAATGCATCTTTATAGGTTTTTATTACCATTCTCGAATCAACCCCAAAAAAAAAATATTGATTGTAATAAATAATCAGAAATAAAAGTAAAAGTAGAAATTATTTCATATTTATAATTTGGAATTATTTTTATTTATAATAATTTGAAAATATAAAAAACAAAATTTGAGTATAATAAAAAATTAGGAAGGTTTAGGTTTGATTTTTAACTTGTTGTGGTGGCACCGAATTCAAAAGTTCTTTATGATCATCCCAAAAATTATTTCCAATAATATCACAATTATGAGTTTCTAATTTTTTCTTTGAGCCTCTTATAATAACAGTTCCTTTTCTAAATTCTTCAGGTTCATTATTATAGTTGATACCAAATTCGGTAAATAAAAGTTCATTTTTATCTGATGAAACTGTGCCTTTTAAATGTTCTTCAGCCTGTAAAAAAAATATATATAGACAAAAATAGTTTTTCAAAACTTATGAATAAGACAATTTTTCAATCCTTAATAAATTACTTACTTCTTTATGTGACATTTTTTTATTAGTTACTAAATTCCAAAAGCATGTATTGTATAAATTATTAATATGGGTATCAGTTTGTCTCCAGGATAGGTAATCTCTCAAATTATTTTCACTTGGATAACATACCACTCTTCCATCGAAAATAGGTGGAGTGGTTATGGATTCGTTTCCAAAGTACTTAGGCCATAAAGTAATATAAAAAGCTGTGAAGGCACTTGAAATAACTGATGTTAATTTTTGTATTCTACGATTATACAAAGTCGAGTCTTTCTTAAAAACAAAACTATATTCATCACTTTGACCATATGCTAATATTATTTCTGGGAATTCTTTCATAACAGCCTTAGCAGCGGCATTCATTACACTTAAAGCTCTTACGTCATTAGGTTTTTTAAATTTGTATCTTTCAGAAAATTTTGAAAAACCTCGACCGTCGACTCTAACGACAATCCATGTATTAGGAAGACATTTATCTTCTGTTTCAAATTCTTTTACATACTCAAATTTGCTTTTAGCCATTTTATTTTTTAAATATTTACTTTAAATTTTTCAGTTTTTTTAGTTTTATTTTTTTAATTTTTTTAAATTTTTTTTTTTTTTTTTTTTTTTTTTGCCAAAAATTATACTAAAGGATCGACATGAAGATTTTTGTTTATAAAACAAAACATAATCGGTATCACGTTAACATGAATTTGTGAAGTTATTTTTTTTAACCAATAAAAAAACATTCGCCATTTTGTACTTAATGAATAACACAAAGTGTCGGTTTTTGTAAACACTTATAATTTAACAAAATGGGAAAAAGTAAAAAAAGGAGAAAGTATTCGTCTGGTAATTCGTCAAATGATGATTCTGATGACTCTATAGAAAAAGAAAGAAAGCGAGACATCAAAGAAAGAGATGAATTTTCAAATCGTTTAAAAAATAGGGATAAAGAGCGTACAAGAAATATTGCTAGACCAAGTGGTTCCTCAGGTAAGTTTTTTATTATTTTTTTAATAACAAATACATTTTAGTTAGTTTTAGTTATAATTGAACTATTTATTAAACAGATTCTCGGGCCGTTAGTAAACATGATGTTGATAGGCTAAGAATCGAATCTAGAAGAAAATACTTAGCCAAAAGAAAGGATGACAAAATAGCTGAGCTTGAAGCTGATATTGTAGATGATGAATATTTATTTCAAGAAGAAATGTAAGTATTTTTTATTTATGTTTGTATTATGCAAATTATTTATAATAATAGCATGTTGTCTCTTTTAGTTTAACAGCTCGAGAAAAGTATGAAAGAGAACATAAAAAGAGGTTATTACATTTGGCTAAAGAACATGAAAAAGCCAGGGAATTGGAAATGGTTCGAAGGTACCATATGCCTCAAGATTGCAAGGTTAGATTTTATTAAATTATTTGATTGTGTTTCATATGAAGTTTTACAAAATCTTTCATTAAAAAATGATTTAAATTATTTTAATTGTTAGGCAGGAGAAATGGAAGTTGATATTGAAGATGGAAAAGAAGTGGGAGAAGGAAAAAAATGGGAACAAGAACAAATGTCTTCGGCTGTTTTTCATTTCGGATCAAAAGATCGTCCTTCAACCCAAGAAGAATATGATTTACTAGTTGATCAAATAGAATTTATTCAAGCTCTTAACATGCCTGGAACCAGAACAGTAAGACCAAGTATTTATTCAGAGCGTTTTTAACATTTTGATTATAGTTTATTAAATAAAAATTATAACAACTAGTAATATGTGTTTTAGGAAGATGAAAAAGAAGCTGAAAAACTCAAAAAAATACATGATATTGAAGAAACTAAAAAAAGTCTTCCCATTTTTCGTTTTAGAGAAGATTTAATTGCTGCAGTTAAAGAATACCAGGTAAAAATTTATTTTACAAAAAAGTATTCAGCAAATTTTTATTTGTAAATACACTTAATAATTATAATGTAGGTTCTTATAATTGAGGGTGAGACAGGATCTGGAAAGACAACACAAATTCCACAGTATTTACATGAAGCTGGTTATACAAATGATGGAAAAATTATCGGATGCACTCAGCCGAGAAGAGTAGCTGCCATGTCTGTGGCTGCTAGGGTGGCTCAAGAAATGAATGTGAAATTAGGAAATGAAGTAAAAAAAAAAATCAAAAGTCAAATGTAAGTAAATAAAAATTATAAATTCTGACAATATTTATACTTTTTTTAGGTGGGATATAGTATAAGATTTGAAGATTGTACTTCAGAGAGAACAATAATTAAATACATGACGGATGGTACTTTACATAGGGAATTTTTATCTGAACCTGATTTAGCCGCTTACAGGTAAATCATTTCTAAAATTTTCATGTATTATAAATCTTTGTAGAAAGAAAAAAGGTGTTTTCAATTTTTTTAAATATTTATTTTATAATTACTGATTGTTAAAAATTTTTATGACCATATTTTAGTGTTATGATAATTGATGAAGCTCACGAAAGAACTCTGCACACTGACATACTATTCGGTTTAGTAAAAGATGTGGCCAGATTCAGACCAGATTTAAAACTCTTGATATCTAGTGCTACACTTGATGCTGAAAAATTTAGTAAATTTTTTGATGATGCTCCTGTTTTTCGGATACCAGGTATATTTTAAAAAATAATTTTGGATTAATATAATTATTCGATGAAAATAACTTATATTAAAAAAAAATTTAAAAAATTTTTTTTTTTTTTAGGAAGAAGGTTTCCGGTTGATATTTATTATACTAAAGCTCCCGAAGCTGATTATGTTGATGCCTGCGTTGTTTCCGTTTTACAAATTCATGCTACTCAACCTCCTGGAGATATTTTAGTCTTTCTTACTGGACAAGAAGAAATTGAAACTTGTAATGAAATTTTAACTGAACGAGCTAGAAGGTTGGGAAGCAAAATCAAAGAATTATTGATTTTACCTGTTTATGCTAACTTGCCTAGCGAATTGCAAGCAAAAATATTTGCACCGACTCCTCCGGGAGCTAGAAAGGTATTTATTTTTTAAAATATTAATTCCTCTCCCCTTTTAAAAATTTTGTTTTATTATAAACCTTTTTTTAATTATTTAAAGGTTGTGCTAGCGACAAATATAGCTGAAACTTCGTTGACCATAGATAACATAATTTACGTTATCGATCCAGGATTTTGTAAACAAAATAATTTTAATTCCAGAACTGGAATGGAAACGCTTATTGTAGTTCCTATTTCAAAGGTCGGTGTTTTTTTTTATTGTTTTTTTTTTATTTTTAACTTTAAACGTGACATTTAAATGTACAAATTTATACATTCAGGCATCAGCAAATCAAAGAGCTGGTAGAGCCGGTCGAGTTGCTGCTGGAAAATGTTTTCGTCTGTACACTGCTTGGGCTTACCAACATGAATTAGAGGATAATGCCGTTCCTGAAATCCAGAGAACAAATTTAGGAAATGTTGTTTTAACATTAAAAGCTCTCGGAATTCACGATCTTGTGCATTTCGATTATTTAGATCCTCCTCCTCATGAAACTTTGGTAAGCGTAGATTTCAATTTTTAAAGTGAAGTTTTTAAAATGAAACACTAAAAATTTGTAATTTTTATTACTACAGGTTCTGGCATTAGAACAATTGTACGCTCTCGGAGCTTTAAATCATCGTGGTGAGCTCACGTCATTGGGTAGAAAAATGGCTGAAATACCTGTACATCCAATGATGGCTAAAATGCTTCTCGCATCTGATAAGTTAGTATATAAATAATTTAGAGTCAGTCAGCGTAAATTTAAAAAAAATTATGAAGTTTATTATTTATATTGAAAAATTTTTAGGTACAAATGCTCCGAAGAGGCCGTATCAATTGCTGCCATGTTGTCAGTCAACAGTGCCATATTTTACAGACCCAAAGATAAAATTCTTCACGCCGATACGGCTAGGAAAAACTTTTTTTCACTTGGCGGTGATCATCTCACTCTTTTAAATGTATATAATCAGTGGGTCGCGACCGATTACAGCACTCAATGGTGCTACGAAAATTTTATTCAGCATAAGTCTATGAGGAGAGCCAGAGATGTAAGAGAGCAGTTGGTTAATCTTCTAACAAGAGTAGAAGTTAATTTAGTATCATGTGGGGGTGACAGTATACCGATTAGAAAGGTAATACAGATTTTAAAATTGCATCAGAAATGATATTGTTTAGATCAAAATAAAAAAAAAAAAAATTTTTTTTTTTTTCCAGGCCGTCACAGCAGGTTATTTTTATCATGTTGCTAGGCTGTCTAAAGGAGGAAGTTATAAGACTGTGAAACATCAACAAGGTGTTGCCATACATCCTAATAGTTCCCTGTTTGAAAGCTTACCACGGTGGCTTTTGTATCACGAATTAGTTTTTACTACAAAAGAATTTATGAGACAAGTTATTGAAATCGATAGCAAATGGCTGCTAGAGGTAGCACCTCATTATTACAAAGAGAGGGAATTAGAGGATTCCACTAATAAAAAAATGCCGAAAAGTCGTAATTAAAAAAAAAAAACGTCAAATTTTATTGGCAAACTTTTTGTATATAGTTTTTTTTTTGTAAAATATAATTATTAATTTTTTTATATTTTTTGTACATTGATTTTAAAAATTCTTTGGACTAAGGAAGTAAATTAGGAATTTAAAAATAATAATAATAATTTTATCGATAAAATTAGTTTGAAATACTTTAAATAATACTAAAATTAACAACTATTTTGAGTTAAGTATGCTATTTAATCATTTAAAATCCTTATTTATTAAAAAATCTAAAGAGAAGTTGATTTTGTTTTAAAAAGAAAAGCGCCATTTTAAATTAGATACACTGTTGCCAATAAAATAAATACAAAAGCCACGTCTAAAAGGCAGTGTGTAATTTTTGAACACACGTTTTTTAGAAGCCATGTTGAAAATTGTATGAATTTAACAGAACGTAATTTGTAATTTTATCTATTCAATCGCGACTATATTTTTAAAATTTTAAACTTCATTTAAAATGAGAGCTAAGGTGAGTTACTTAATATTTTATTTCAAATTAAATTTTTATGTTTAATTCACTTAAAAATTTTATTTTTTAATTATAAATAAAATCGTGTGTTATATATATTAACTGCGTGCTTGTGGTACCCAAATAAAATATGTTAAATATTTTTATTATTGTTTTACGTAGACTTAGATTTTAGTTAAATATTTAAATATAGAGTTAGAAAAAAAAGCTTAATTATATTATTTTCTGCTTTTACATTTTTTTTCATCACGTTTCGTGCAATTAATTATATAAAAATTGTGTTTGATTATAGTGGAGAAAGAAGCGTATGCGAAGGCTCAAAAGGAAGAGGAGGAAGATGAGGGCGAGGTCAAAATAAGCAGTAGTTGTAAGCATTGTTTAAAATACATCTATTAAATTGATGAAATGTCTTTGAAAATATCATTTAATGTTAGTGTTATCTGTTTCAGATTGCAATCATTTATGACATGTGAAATTGCTAATGGACTTTTAAACGAACTGTGCAGTATATTGTCGGCTTACTTTAACTCAATTTAATAATTACTGTGTTATTTTCAAACAATTTGAAGTTCAATATACATCATATTTGATTGTGTTTTAAATAATTTATATTTTATTAAGATAATCACAGAATCTACCTTTCTCATAGTACAATTTTCCCCCCCTCGTGCAAAACTAATGAAATTTTTTTAGATTATTTCAGATTAAAAAACATTCTTGAATTAATCTTTAGAAGTTATTGAAAAACAAAAAATTATTAACCATTCTTTCGAAATGAAGGGAAAAAAAATATTTTTACTTAAATTATGGATTATATAATTGATAATAATTTTATTCAAGCCAAGTTTTTATGATTATTTATTTAATTAAAAAGGAAAAATAATAAGTTAAACATCATGTTCAGTTTGTAAAAAAGAAAAAAAGGAAGGGAGGGAGGGAAGGGATAAAATCTCATACTTATGCCTGTTGGATTTTCTCATTAGAGATATTCTTTATCTCAGTTTGATATCGTCTCTCATAAAAGCCATGTTTTAAGAAAAGGTTTGTTATTTATTTATTTTTTCTTTATCTGTTTATTTCTCATATTAAAGTCATCATTCCTTGATTCTCTCTTTTTTTTTTATTTTCTAAATTATGTCATTAAAAAAAAAATTTTTTTTGTGCTTTTGTCATCTTTTATTTATTTTATCTTTAACTTTTTTTTTAAATTGCTTCTTTCTCGAGTACTGCTTTGTAGAGCAATTACAGTCTTTTTTTCTCTACCCTTATAAAATCAAATTATAAAAAATTTGATAATTATATTTTTAAAGATAAGATTTTTTATAAATCATTTTGTAGATTTAAAAAAAAAAAAAAGTCATAAAAATTTTTAATTTAATTTTACGATTACATATCAAGTCTTAAATAATATTTATAATTAAAATAAAATTCATCTTTTATTTTTTTTTAAGATAAATATACCATTTTTAACGAAAATATAATTTCTCTTAGTTTAATGTTAAAACTTTTGATATATGTGAATTTTTATTATGAAAAAAAAAAGTTAAAAATAGAAAATTTTCAAAAATTTAAAGTAATTTAAAACTAATGCCAAATTATTTAGTGTCCTTTAGGAATATATATATATGTCATAGAAAATGTTGTCACATCTGTGTTCATGCTTTTTTTCCTTTTGTATCTTATAAGAAATTTAAATTTTACTTTATATACATTTTTAAAAATTAAAATAAACCTTTTTCTTTTATTTTACTTTTTAAAATTATTATTTTGCCACATTTATTTTATTATATGCAATGTAAACTTAAACTGAAAGAAAAAATTTATAAGTTTGGATAAGTAAAAAAAAAAAAAAAAAAAAACTAAATTTCACTATCAATTTTATTTGTATCATTTATAAATATTTAATTAGTAAAACTTTAAAAAATTTTATTACATAATACAAAAAATTTGAAAATATAAATCATTTGGGTTAGGCATATTTAATAATAACATTTTGATTTGCAGTATAAACTCTTTAATTTATTGTTAAATTTTAAATTATCCATTTACACAATCCATTTGTGTAAAACGGTTGCTTTAATTTAATCCAATGATGATACCACCTGATAATTATTAATTAATTTCTCTGAAACATTTACACACATACGCAAATTAAAAAAAAAAATTTTTTTTTAAATCTTTTTCATTTATTTCAATAAAAAAAAAAATACGGTTACTTATTAATTAATTAATTCTTTTAACAAAAAAAAAATTTATAATTAATTATAACTTTTTGAATAATTAAAAAAAAGAGCTTAAAATTTTTTTTTTTGTGGAAACGTTTCCCTCCATTTTTTTTTTTTTTTTTCATTTTCTATTCCCACGCGCATCTCTTTAAGTTGGCAATACACCTTGAGTGTCAGTTGACATTTCAGTGAGCGTTGGTCGTGGTTCGACGTAGTTTTTCCAAAAAAAAAAAATTTTTTTAACGGTTTTATCACCGCGAATAAAAATTGTGAAATAATAATAATTTTCTTTTATTTTTCTCTCTTTTTTGTTTGTTTTTGTTTAATCAATCGAATGTAATTTTAATTTTTTTTTTTTTTTTTAAATTGTTTTCATTTATTGATGGATATTAACTGGATATTATAAATCGACAATTAAACAAGTAAGTTAATTAATTAATTATTTTAACTAACGTAAATTATTTAAAAATGAATAATTTAAAAAAACTTTATTCATTCTAATTTATATATATTTAAATAAAATGAATAATAATAAAAATAATAATATTTAAACATTTATAAACTTTTACAAAAGCTAGTAATTTAGTAACAAAATAAATTTATGTTTGATTTTATAAAACCGATAAATTTT